GGAATTATCTCTGTGCTCTAAACAGTACACTCTGGTGCACTCGACTTGCACCCTTGCGGTGCTGCGACAGGGTACAGAGGAGGCGCGCGGTGGGTGCTGCACCCGGCAGTTGGGCTGGTCGACTGAGCGACGCCAGAAAATTCATACTTACCTGGCGCAGGAGTTAACCGTGATCATGAAGGCGGTTCTCCCAGGGCGAGGCCTTTCCATTGCACTTCGGTCGGGCTGACCTCTGCGAGTATCCCAAATGTGGATACCTCGGGCGTACAATTTTTGATAGTCGGGACTGCGTTCGCGCTGTCCCGGAATAAACTTGAAATCATCCTCTCCACTCTACAGCCTTGCCCAGTCTATGGGGATGATACTATTCTGCCGGCTCGTTACGTGAAGGGCCGACAGTACAATATTATCATCTTTTCGATTTCCTTTTTAAATGTCGCTCAGGAGACAAGATCACCTTCGACCGTTCACATGCCATCAAACCCCATGAACCCTAACGCGGCAATGTCTGTTACAACGTCGAGAAAGTGTAGACCCTTTTCCCTTTGGAACCCCAAAGTTAATCAGACCCACCTATTTGGTCATGAGCCAAGCAAAGAGTTCGTATCACGGCCTTAATTTTTAATATTGGGACACGCCTTTCTTCAGTGCCGGCGAGTGTGATGTGTGCGAGAACGTCGTGATATGCCGTGTCCTGGTTGAGTATTGAGCCGAGAGATGGAGCCACGGTCGCTTTGTCGTCTTGCTTTGCGCGCTGGTTTCTCCCATCCCCAAAAGAATCAGGTGTCTGTGATCGCCTCCATCCAGTTACTCTGGTCTCCCTTCAAAACGCATAAATCTTTCGCCTTTTACTAAAGATTTCCGTGGAGGGGGACACTTGATGAGTCTATTGACCAATTTTTTGTGTGCCCTGCGCAAGCGGGGCCAATAATCCTTTCAATATTCTTATTAATTTGAAGAAGTACTTCTTCTGGTAACGTGTTTCTGTCGTCAGGAACTCTTGAGCGCAGTCTCTACCGAAAATCCAAACGGCATCCTGCACTTCTACGATGAAAACACAGTGAACACAGTACGATATTTTACAAATTACTAACCAGTCACTGCTTAACAGTCACATATTGTCAATCCAACTTTGTCATTTGAGAGAATAACCCGGGGTTTCATGACGTGTCGTGCCTCCATATAATTAAAGAATTATGAAATTATTATTAAAGTTTTGTATTTGCCATCGACTTCTCTACCCGTTTCTGCCTCTGGCAAGAGAACGCGACGCTTTTGCAGTTGCAGTTTGCAGCTGGGGTGCAGAGCAGGAACAGAGCAGACTACCATAGATTCAGCTGGCGCGGCAGACGTGAGGGTGGTCAACAGTTCACAACACACAACAGGTTTATTTACTTTTGAAGAAAAAGTTTTACTTGCCGTAGCCATTTTACCAGTTTCTTTATCAGGCAAGAAATACGTCACCAAAGGTTAATATTAATCCACGCTGCTATGAATGCAGTACCGAAGGCTCTCGTCAAAATGTAATGAACAGTACATTTGTAAGAAGTATCTCTACGTATATTCTTATCAAGTTTTTAGACAGTCCCCAGTGGCTGTATCTTGTTCAGTCAGTTCACCTGGTTCACCAGAGAAAATTTCCTATTCTTGTGAAGATTGGCTTTAAATTTTTTGATATTGCCGATTTGCGTTCGAGAAGCAGGTATTCATTGTTATTTTGATGCCCAAATTTACTGTTTCTTTATCATAGCGCCCAGTATATGTTTTGGGTTTACTTTTGGAACTGGACTGTCTCGTTACCGGCCGGCCGGGCATTTTTTTTAGTGACACCCGCACCGAAAATATAACAGTTTACGGAAACACGGTTCCCAGAACAAAGCGACAGTCTCCTTGCCTGTCCCCGAACGTACAAACTCCAAAGTAATGATATGTGGAACCAGTTCATTAGCCTCCGTAGAGGCTTCCAAAAATTGCCTTGGCGGACTATATTTCAAGTCCTCCAGGCGGGGTATTGGTAAAGTTTTCAACTAGCAATAATTGCACCTCGGATAGACCTCATTGGTTACAATATCGCCACTGCGCAAAGTTAACAGGACGGACTGTCCGCCCCGACCCTATACGTCTGACGTACGGGGACCTCCGCACGCTTTGATGGCCTGCCACACATGCATGCTGCCATCTCTGGGCAAGACGCTCAACCAACCATCTTTTGGTAGCCCCGCGCAGGAAACGCGACCAACGCGGCTCATTTAGAAAGTCCACACCCCTAGTCAATATGTCACACTTTGTAAAGTATCACATCACTCACCAATTGAGCCACCGACGGTCCTGCGCGACGGGACCCATTAAACGTCAATCCACATAGAATCTGTACACTTATTTGCTACATTAGAAATTCTTAACCCGCATACAAAATGCTTTCTTTTCAAGTTTGAAATGAAAAAACAAGAGTTCTATAACACCTCCCAAAGGTGATACTACAATAGTGCTTTTGTATAAAGCACTTTTGTAGGTACCCATCTTAAGGGCACTATTTCACTAACAATGCCTCAAAAAAGGCAGTATGTAGCACCTTCGTTTTTCCAGCGTGGAAAAGTCTTTTACAATGTATTTTTACCGATAGGTATTGTCCGACTTTGGCTGTTTGCAGTTCACCCTCACATCATCAACGCCCCATGGTCCTGGAAATCAACCTCACCATCTGACAAAGCGAATTTTTCTAAATAAAATGAGCCACTTGCGGCTACTTGCCTTATTCTAGTCTCATATGTAATAGAGACCCTCTACAAGAGTAATAAAACCACATAAAAAGAATTGTTTCTTCTTTTCCCAATACGTCACCATGCATGGGTCAGCATGTATTTTCTTTTATTCAATTTTAATTACATCAGATTCGACTCAACATAAAAGCTTTTGCCTTTGCCTTCATTTCTCTTTTGACCCTTAAATGGTCTGACAGTGCCGCAGTCTTAGAACAAATATATCAACAAAGACAGTTATGAAGTTTATAGAGTTTAAACGAGTACTGTTTATGTAGGGCGAAACATTACTTCATTTTTCTTCAGAGCACTGTTTCCGAAGAGTAAAGTATTTCAACATAACGTATAGCATCTTTTGTTGACTTTCTTAAGAGTCGAGCATAAAATATTAATAGAAATAATAGTTTAGTGGGCATTTGTCATGGTAAAAAATTATTGATAAACAGTTGCGCTGTTTTAAAGGACAAGGTAAGGTACACAATACACAAGTTATTTTAACAAGAAACTAGCTCAAGCGAATCAATCATACAGACTAAATCTTCTCTGTAGTGGGCCATGGTAAGAAATGAGCACAATGCAGATAGTTTAACACACATTCAACATTATCTAGTGTCCCTTACGATTATTGATTATTAGCCTCCGTAGAGGCTTCCAAAAATTGCCATGGCGGACTATATTTCAAGTCCCCCAGGCGGGGTATTGGTAAAAGTTTTCAACTAGCAATAATCGCACCTCGGATAAACCTCATTGGTTACGATATCGCCACTGCGCAAAGTTAAAGAAGAGGCGTTTCTGCTCCCACTATATGCTTCTGTCGTGTAGGGGACCTCCGCGCGCTACGGCCTGCCTCAGGGACGACTGCTGCTATCTATCGACAAGACGCCCAACCAACAAGGGTGCCGCCATCTTGCGGTGACGCCGCGAACCGCGCCGCAGCTGTGGGCGGGAAACGCGACTCATTTTGAAAATGAGTCGCGTCACACCCTTGAGCGACGGCCGCCTTTTATCAAGATACACTGTTGGCTACTTTGAACGCAGAAACTTTACACTCAATTACTATTGCACCCCTCTCACCAACATTGATGCGGTCCAGTGTATCAAAATTCGCGACTCGAAGGCTCCACTCCCCGCAAAACCCGCTCCATAATAAGCACACAGGGTGGTTCACAGACCCCTTCCTTTATTTTGATTATACTGTACCGGATACAGGCGTGCGGACGGGTTGCATACTCGCACGGGGCCATAAGGCGCCCACGGTGAGCGACAGTAGGCAAGCGCGCCCGCACGCATGCATGCGGTACAGTATAAGCAAAATAAAGGAAGGGGTCTGTGGACCAGCCTGTATGCGGCGGTGGTCGTTCGACACGCCTATGTTCTTGCACCCCATGTAGACGTGCAGGTGGGCTTGCCCTTACCCTCGGCTTGTCTACCGACTCTCCGCAAAGCGCATTGTGGCCCCGTGCGAATGTGCATCCCGACCGCACGCCTGCATCCGGTACAGTATGTCCGTAAAAAAAAGTACGGCTTAGAACACCCACCCTGTATGGCTCAATACCTACGACAGGGCAATGACTAAACTTTGAGGGCGTGTTGTTGTGAGTGCATTGGGAAGGATTTTGACGCAGGACAATAAATTGTGGTAACATCACAGATAAATCGTAACGGCGCAAGTACATTTCGAAGTGAGCGCTTAGACGGAATACATCCCGCGTGCACGTCCCTTAACAGCAGCCCCCCCCCCCCCCTAAACCGGCCAAAGCATTGCATGCCCGTAAGATACGCTTAAAAGGTGACACATTGATGACGCGCATGAAGTGCGTAACATTAAATGCATCTAAGGCGCGTTGGCGCTTTGGGGATGAAGGCATTGGATGGCAATAAACGCGTAACCTTTAGAGCGCTTTACCATGCTTCTAGAGGAATGGGGAACGGAACCCCCCAACCCCGTCGACGTCGGCTCCAATTTGGGGGGGGGGGGGCGTGGGAACGCGGTCGAGACGAGTCCTTCAACATTTCTTAAGATTAAAAATGGTATGGTTTTTGTATGCTTACGGCATACCCCCCCCCCCCCCTCGCCCCGCAAGTTCAAGAACCAGCGAATCTAGAGGAGCTACGAGCGGCACGAAAAACAGGCGGCCGGCGAGGCGAAACAGCAAAATCTCTCGAGTATGTAATTACTCCCTAGCAACCTGATGGATAAAACAAATCACCTCACAAACTTTCGAGGGTGTAATCACTTACTTGCTGACTGATAGCAAACAAAGTGTCACGTTCACACTTCATGCGGCCCCATCACGTCCCATAGAGCACGTTTCGCAGAACCGTTCAGACTTCATGGAAGGAGGGTCTTGTGGCGCTGGCCGATGTCCTCACAGCGGTACGAATCCAATCGGAAGCGTCCACCGACCCCGTGGCAACCACTTTGTTCACACGCGACTAGAGCACCGGCACTCATCGCGCGGTCAAACGGGGCAGCAAGCGACGGAGAGCACGGCGCGGCGCGCGTACGAGGACCGAACACCACGGCCCGCGGGGCTCGACTGGACTGGTGGTGGTGGCTGGCTGTGGCTGCTGCGAGCTGCAGCGAGCTGCGGCTGGGAAAGGGAGGAAGTACAGGGCGGGGGCGGGGCGGGCAAGGCGGGCGGCACGCCCGCCGTCGTGGCAGAGTCGAGGGTCGCAGTCACTGCAGGGGTAAACACAAGAAGCGCTGTTGTGATTGGTCAGCCCGTAGTTTGCAGGTTGTCTTATATTCTCTTATGAGGATAAATGCGTCGTTGCGTGCAGTATCCGAGCGTTAAGACGCACCCTAGGCTGGTCTCACGATAAGTGTCGCAGGCCTTCAGCTGGTCACGCCGGCGCAGGGGGGGATG